TTTGAGACTGAGGAATTTGTACATAAGCAAAAGTACCAAATGTACGCAAATGCTTCAAGCATGGATATTTCCCATACAGCAAAAAATAAGGAACTTCATTCACTGAATTCCAGTGTCTATTAGTGAGAAACACTGCTGTTAACATTGCCTCACCCCAAAAATGGGATGGTACCTGTGCATCCTGCAGTAGACTATCCTTCAACACCTTTAGAACGCCGACCTTGCATTCAGCAATTCCGTTTTCTGCAAACATGCCAACATTTGTTAATCTGTGAAAAATGCCTTTTTTACGTAGCCAGTTTTGGAACTCATTGCTCATAAACTCGCTCCCTCTATCCGTCTGTAAACTGCCCACTTTGTGCCCATGCCGTCTCTCAACCATGCTTGCAAATTCTTTGAAACGAGAGAAAGCTTCAGACTTCTGTTTAAGCAAATAACAAAACGTAAAACATGTTTTATCATCCACCAAAACAAACATAAATCTTGCTCCACCTTCACTTGGAAGAAACGGACCAGCCAAATCAGCGTGCACAAGGGCAAACGGTCTTTTGGAAATCCTGCTACTTTTCCTAGCGACAGGGGCAGATTTTATCTTAGATTGCTTACACACAGTACAATAAAGAAGCTTTGCACACTTCTTGAATCTCAAATCTGGATACACTTTTGCCATTTGTGACAAACATTTCCATCCAGGATGTCCTACACTCTGTGGTAATAATGTATACAATTATCATGCAAAGACACATTGCCAGCGCAACTCCCAATTAACACATCTTGTTTAGGAAGCATTTCATACAAATGATTAACCAATTTCCCTCTAGCACACTCAGCCCCCTCTTTGATTACGTAGCATTCAGAACCTTGGAACGTAACAGTATACCCAATGCTAGTTAATACAGGGACACTGAGAAGGGAAAAACCAAGGGTAGGAACACAGAGTACATCAGAGACCACTTCCCCCAAATGAGGAATGAACACTTTACCTTGCAAGGTTACTTTAGCTATAGAACCATCAGCCAAGTTCACTTGTTGAATTTTAGGCTTGCATTTAGTAATAACTGCTCATTGTTCACAATGATTTCACTGCAAGCAGAGTCCAACCACCACTTATCAGCACAATGTTTGTCTCTGTTAGAAATCATGCCTAGCATGCGATGGGGTGTTATAATGCAACATCTCCTCTGTTTTTATTATTTTAAAGAGCAGCTTCCTCCTCATCACTGATAAAGGTGAGCTGAGGTTTGCAAAAAAGCTGTTCAGGTGCCACTGGTTCCGTGGTTGGGAGAGGCAGGTATTTATGAGTGCAGACCATGTTGACCTGTGCTTCTATGGTACCCAGTCTATCCTGAAAAAACCTTATAAGCCTATTAAGGACACAAGGACCAACTGTACATGCTATAATTAACAATAATAATGGTCCAGTGAGAGTGCTAACCAAGTTTGTGAGCTACGGGGAGAGATTAAACCATCCCTCAAACCATCCCTCAAACCATCCC